TGCATATGACATTTCAATATATCTTAATGTAAGCTCTCTTCACAATAACAAAATCAAACTAAAAAAGTAGTATTTTCATAGTATTTTTTTTTAATTAACAAAACACTGCGAACAATTTAACAACTTTCCTCTATCTTTAAAACTAACAAATTTATAAACTCAGCTTTAACAATTCTGTTTGTTTTCATCAAACGAAGATATAAAAAGCGATAATAAGAAGCAAGAATAAAAAACAAAGAACTTTTTCCTAGACAAGTGTCGCTAAAACTGCTTCATTTGTAATCTGCATAACAGCGTTGCCAACTCTAGCATAAATTCTTCCATTCTTGGACCAAACCAGTTGTTTGCCCAATTTACTCCTGGCACTAATCAACAATGTATATGCTTCATTAGACAGATTCTCGTTGATATATATTTTGGACGTGCGGAGTACCTTGCGTGCGTAGTTTATTTCGTTTTTTTTTGCATAGGGTCACAAATACCACCACAATTGTTCTGTCTTTCGTTTCATTCATTTTTCCTACTCTGTAGACGTTATAAATATCCATCCGTGTACATTCGACCTTCATTGCTTCATTAAAAATAGCCAAAACTTTTGAAAAAAGGTGTTCCTGATTCTCCTCCTTAACTCCTACTAGAGACAACGAGTTTTCTTTGGAATTTCGCTGAATTATCTCTACTGAATTCCTTACTGTCTGCAAACCATTTCTGTTTAGGTCAACTTCTTTCTTCAAATAGGTGAGTTGGGTAATTATGTCTCCCAGTTTCATTTCGATATTATCTATTTTCTCACCGATTTTGGTAATTTTCTCTTCATTTGTGCTAGTCAGTCTGGATACGAATTTGGTGATTAAAGATTCTAACATGCTCTCGTCTATCATATTGGGAGTATTAGTACTTCTTGTACGCTGACTCATTTCCTAACCCCAAAGTATTGTAATAGCTGGCAACAATGTACTGAATTTTACCAGGTAATTAATTAATCACAATAAACAACTTTGGCACAAACTCCTCAAAATTTTAATTGATATATATATTATCAAACTCTTTCTAATGNGGTTCAATTTTTGCTTTTCATTTTCTGCATGTAGGTCGTCGTAGTTCATGTCGAAGTTGTGATTGTTTTCTTACAGGTTGAATTAATTCATTTTCTTCAATTCAAAAATTTTTTGTTTTCAGAAATTCTGATATTTCTCAATACAAACACGAGCCACAATTCATTTGTAGACACCTGATTTGTTGTCTTTATCGATGTTAGATTTGTTTTCTTTTATAAGTCTACCTAAGTTAGGTATTGTTAGTTTTTTCACTTATTTTTTTATGCCTTTCATGTGTATGTCAAGTTTATATTACTCACGATTTGAGTTTATACTTGTTAACGGCTCATTTCAATAATTTTTTGTCGAGGATGTGATGAATCATGTCCGGATCGAAGTTGTTATTTACTGCCATGCGTTTCATCAAATTCTTTATTCTATATTTCACACAAGGAAGTTTAATTTGTCACATCAGAATACAATATCATAACATTTATGGAAAGATTTTTTATTCCCCCGTTTCAAGTATTGTTGTTGGCTACATGATTGTGTATTTTCCTATAAATTTTAATTTTTCAGTTCACTGCTTCACCCTATCGAACTAATTAAGTATTTGGTGCACATTACTGATATAGTTTCGAATGGAACATTTTCTATGTTGAACGGTTTTATTGAGAGAAAAAAAGATAATAATAACGTAGATAATGTAGTAAAAATAAAAAAAATATTCATACGGTCCTGGGTAGAAGTTATCACACCACTCTGCTCAGCAATCTACGGTATTAATCAGATTAAAAAAATAATATAATCGGTGGCCGCAGCGTAACGTGATCAATAACGTAAAAGCTACCTGATAAGGTATGAATTCATTACCTAAGTATGTATGTATATAGTAGGGAGGGTGAGTGTATACCCACAGCACTTAGGCCATATGTGACCCATTGTACATCCTACCGAGGAGTTGTCCTCCTAGGTCATCGTCCATCCTGTTCTTTCCAGGAAGGTGGACAGGTCACTAGGAAACATCTCTTTTATATCGGCAGGTGTAGGCCAAGACTGGCTGAACACACACTCTATTTGGCAACCTTGAGGTATCTCATAGCGACCTCCGCGAAGGTTTTGGAGGGTGCAGCGACATTACTAACGTTGCGCGGCTTCTTCAACTTCCCTGGGGTTCCCCTAGTGGAGGTGTTCAAGTGAGGCGATTTTCAGCAGGAGCAGCCGGTTCCTTGCCTTTATTCAAGGCAAAGATCTTGGCGCCCGCCGCAAGAAGTGCCCTTGCTGTTGGAGGTGGAGTGGGGGAGGAGGAGGAGAGTGCACTTATAGATGCTGCTACTCCTGCCTCTTTCGCACTCTTTCTCCTCAAATGCGCCGCCTTTGTATTACATCTCGAGGTGATATGCTATGTCCAGCCTCATTCCGAGCGGTAGATTAGGGTGAACATTTCTGTTCATCCCCAGCCACCGCCATAGTTTGAGGAGAGCACTTCCGTTCAGTCTCGGGATTGGTTTTTGTTGTGTCTGTTTGTTCCGGCCATTCAGCTGTCGGCACGATTTCTTACACCCTAGCCTGGGTAGGCTGGTCCACGGTGGCATGTTTCGCAAATGCTTTTAGGGAGTTTTAGTTCCTTTCACCCTACTTATTTCTGCCACTGACCAAGAGTCCGGCGATCCCGTCCGTAAGGGCTTCCCTGACAGGGCCCTAAGTCCCCTGGCCGTTCCCCTATCCGCCATCTGGAGACGCGCCCAACCCACGGGATTCATAACCTATATGAATAAACAAAATTTCCGAAAATAGGGTAATTATACTTACCTTTTTTCACCTGGAAATAAACAGATTCAGTAACGGCGAATTATTCAATTCAGTTTGAAAATTCATTATGATACTTCATCTCACAAAATTCCTGAATTGTTGTATTTCACTTAATCTAGTTGTCACTAATTCACTCTATACATGTGAACTTTCATTCAGATGTTACATTAGCTTTAAAGTGTAATCATATCTAAGTATGTGGAAGCCACAGCCAAGCAACACCCAAGTTATTTGGCAGCTATGGTTCAGGTCACAGATCATATATTAATTGATGTCGAATGTCAATTGTAACTTGAGCTTTGTCATTGGCTGGTACTATACATGTACGAATTGATTACATGTCATATGTCAATCTTAAAATTTGAAATATTCACATGGTCATCTTCAAGAAACAACAAATATCTTATTTATTTATTTATTCGCAGACATGTCGGAAATCTGTCCACATCATGTTAATGGAACTTCATAATATGTCCATGAATCTTTTATACAGGGCTGACTTGGGCCACCCCCAAGGACCTGTAATTTTGTTGTAATTTTTGGATCATTGACGTTCACTTCATACTGGGATACATGAAAATCTATCGATCAGATGATACCAAAACCCAAATTGAAACATTGCATATTATTCAAAATGCGAAGTCTGTGAGAGAATGACTAGTATCACCTTCTTTGCTAGTGTTTTTTACATATTAGATGTATAGATGACTACTTTTTTTCATTCATTCAAATGTGAATAAATATTAGTAATATGGCTTGATGTATAGTGGATGAAGCATCTGTTACTGAAAGATAGTAGAGGTTTCAACCACTTCATGAGAATATATGTGAACATGTTTTAGTGTGAATATGAAATGCAAAAGATTTCATGTCCAAATAACCTTCGAACACTAACGAATACCTTGGACTGTGGTAAATTTATCTCAAAGTAATTCGTTGGTACTATTGAAATAATTCAAACTTTGAAAGATATTTTAGTACCATAAAATCGAAACTGCTTGAACATTACAGGTATTTCATTTTTGCATGAAGTATTTCTGAATAACAATGAATATAATGGAAATAATGTCTGTCTTTTCATTCTAGTATAATAGTGGTGATGCATTTGTCATACCGGGAATTCGTTATGCTGAACTGGTTTCGAAGTTTTCTCCAGTTTTTCTATATCAATTTTCATACCTAGGCGAAATGGATGGATTGTCATTTTTACCCAACGTGACAGGTAAAAAAAATAAAATCATATAGATTTAACAGCTCACTCAGTCACCCATATACAAACTTTTATTCGATTCGCTAGTTTAATCATTGCTTCATGGCATTTCTGGGCCTCTCTCTATCACTTTTGGGTTCAACAATGCCTGGAATGTAGCTTGCCTGTCAGTAGGATATTGATACGCTTCAAATCAATATTTTTCATGCTTTGCGAAATTTCATACTCCTTCGCCTGGAAGACAGATAAGTACCTACCAAGCTGGTAGCTGTAATGTAATATTTCTACCCACACAGTATTCTCTACCTCCAATCTCATGTTCGTTTTTCAACCCTACTGTTTACAGCAAGGTTACTCTGCAGTTCAGTCTTCCTGAAGACGCCAACTTTTTTGGAGAAACACGCGTCGAGAAGCATGTTGCAATTCTTTTGTTTCGGAATAATACTTGTATTGGAATATATTCGTATATGGTTGGTTGATCATATCATCAAGTATTTGCGTTTATTTTTGCTAATATCTAATTCTTCGACTTTCAGGTCGCTTATTTTCGATAGTTTTAATTGAAAAAGGCTAGATTTCTCTGGGACATTGTTACAACATTCCTATGGAATCAATACTGAGCTAGATCCATACGAAAGATTCGAAAGTTTTGAAAATCAGGAATCCACATGTTGTTTCAATAAAGGGAACGCATTCAGTGTCAAAGGTTATTGAAAAGTATTTGTTTTTACATTTTTTTCAAGGACAGTTTATAGTCTTATACTAAAAGGTATGAAAAATTTTGAAAGCTATGTGATGGAATTTGTCAATATTTGATGAAAATCCATAACTACCCACAGTGAAAATTTCACAATAAATTTTTACTTGAATATATTAAGAGTGGTAAGTGTAGATTTCATGTACCTTGCAGTTTTGAATGGACAATGAAGAGCTTCGACAGTTTGGAAATCGTTCTGTAGGCTCTAACTATTTCTTATTCACAGACCGAATTTTGGTCTTATTCTTTTATATCCACTATTTATACATTGTCCACTTGTTGCGCATATGTCGTGGCTATCATTTAACAGAACAGAAGTTTTCATTATCATCAATTTTATTTTTTGAGCACGGAATATGTACTACTGATTGATGGTTTGTCACATCACTTGGCACTTTGAAATTCACTATCACGTCTCTTAATTTGGTCTAGGATCATATGAAATTCACCATGAAAGAGGAACTTTTTCACAAAACTTCAGCACTCCATTGTTCAAAAAGTTCATAGGAATTTTGTTTCATGTTAAAATAGACTGGAAAGTAACCTCATTGAATTAGAGCGTATTTATTAAGAACACCATGCATCCTCCATTTCCATAAGATTAAATACATGCATTTCTACCGCCCATCCCCTGAATCATTATTATCGCTCTCCATAATCAACATCTTCTTCTTTCCCTACTATTCAAAAACAAATTGATAAAATGTCGATGTTTTTTCATACTTTCCTCAGGTACAGACTCAGTTGCACATACCGCTGAGTTGAAATATCTTTTTGGAGGAGTAGAGGGATTTGCAGGAGAACCTGAAGATTACTCTCAATCTGATCAGCTTACGATGAAAAGAATGGTGACATTATGGACCAATTTCATCAAATATCAGTAAGTATCATCATTCAACTATTGGAATATTCAAACAAAAATTGTTATGGAAAAATATAATAAATCAAAAGAGAAAATTTCTCTTGGAAAAAATACCTATGATTATTATCAAATTTCTTGCAGCTCATTTCAATCTTGACTAAATTTGATTCCATTAGTTTTTTATATGACTGAGTAGCGCGAGTATTTGAAAAAGTATTCTTTGATGAACCGAAGAATTCCTAATCGTGCAATTCTCGTTGAAAAACCATGCATTTTGAAAGGGTCAGATTCGTCTCTCCTAAAGATACAAAATCAAGATTCTTACTGAACATGAAAAATGTGGGTTCCATGTTGTTTGATCCATAATAATTATGAAGAATGTCTGCAATAATATTTTTGTCATCGCCCAAAATCATTATATCTTTACTTATCAGTACTTCCGTTCCTTCTTCCGGTCAATGAAGTTTTGTTTTCTTTATTTTAGGAACCCCACTCCAAATTCGAACCAACTTTTAGATAATGTAATATGGCCACGTCTGAGAGCAAGTGATATACAATATTTGGATATTAACAGAACTTTGGAAGTACGGTACAATCCCAAGTCTTACAAAGAGGTAAAAGAGGTTCTCACAGAGTATATGCAACCTCCATTGACAGTGTTTTGAAATAATACAGGACGTATAATGGATCTAAATTGATTGATTTCAATGTCTGTACAATATGAGTAAATGACCAATAAATTTTATATCGCTCCAATTTGTATTTATCTCCTTCATTGTGTTTTGCACAAAAAAACTACAATGAATTAAAATAATGGATGATTATAACTAATTAATACAGTTTATTGTATGATTTTCACAAAACAGGGTTAAATAAAAACCGCGGCATGTGTAATGCTATACAATAGCATCCTTAAGCGTAAAGTTTACACTTGAGGAAGCTATTGTGAAGTTTACGCTTATGGAAGCTATAGTGAAGTTAAACTACAAACAATGTTATCCTCATTTATATCATAGATACCTCTGCTAGGTATCTGCGTCTTAATTGTTTCAAATTCAATTTCCAGCAAAATATTTACAAACACAAGTCGAGATAGACTGTACGGAATCATTCAATCCAGAGCGGCCAGGAGTATTGATTATGCTATTGTTTCGCTCACGAAGAGTATTCCACAAGAACCCCAAGAATTCGGAACAATCCTCTTATTGTCCTAACAAGTATCTAGTGGACTTCGAAGACTCCAGGAAATCGGTTGGAGAAAAAGATGATACACCAAAGTTTCTAAACAGTGCATCTCAAAAACATCTGAGGTTGTACGATGCGACGTGTAAAAAAATCTGAGTAAGAAAGGACTACCTGAATATAACAATTTTTCCGCTGCACTTCTACGAGATGTCCTAGCCTATAACGTTCTTAGACACCGCGAAAGCTGTGTGGAAGGGAAACGAAAGGTTCTTATTGATCTTTGGGAAGTTGTTCAATGTGGAAAAATATTTTTTGACAACAAGTTCTGTAAACCTGCTGATTGAACACATAATGACTATTAAATATATATAAGGGACGCGCAATGACAATCTTTCGTTGTTCTATATGTAGTTTTTGTTCAGGAAATTGTTACTGAGGAAACAAAAAAATTCCTGGAAAATGTGGATTTTTATTAATTGCTTTCGATAAAAACTGAAGTTCAAATGATTCATTTGGCTATTGATAACACCTGTGAAACCCGGTATTCGACTAAACCGACTAAAAAAAAAAGATGATTCAGATATAGTCAACCACTATTCATGGAAACACCTTCTCGAAAGATAGCTGAATACCTAATAACGAACAATATTTAAATAGCGAATCATGATGATCTTATTCACGCCTTGTATTTTTCTCAAGATCTAGGCATATATTGAATGCACTTGTTTCGTGATTCTACATATCGCTCTTTGGTTCACAAATAAGTATTCTGAAAAAATTAATGAAATATTCATATCTTCAAGGAGAAACCCATTGAAAAGCTCTGAATTACTTTAACGTCTATCAGACAGAAGAAGAAGAAGACAGAAATAAGAAGATAGTCTATGGAATAGTTACTTCAAGGACAAAACATAAGCACTATACGAAAATCCTCAAGGTACTCTTAGAGCGGTGCCTGTGCGACACTAGTGATTCACATTGGATTTGAATCGCTGGAGATTGAATCCATTTGGAAAAACGTTCTCAGGTAGTTTATTCCACATAAAAGCAGTTCTCCAGTTAAGTTCGAGGTATTCTGAGTTGAAGCTCAAAACGATGAGCAGCCTCAGTCCGTCGCGTATTTCTGATATATAATAATAATGATAATAAATTGTGTACTGTTTGCCGGTAAAATAATTACAGAACTGTAAAACTCAACCTAAAGAAGACAGCAAAACAAAAGGAGTAGTGTTGGGTCAGTTGACCGATTCTTCCACACTCCCATAAACAAAAAAAAATATACAATGATTTTCACTAGTTCGGACTTCCATTGTCTAATATATAAAATGATTTGAAATCCCTGAAATAACTGAAAAAAAAAAGAAAGAAGAAGAAACAAAAATGAATAGCTGAAAATAACAATTATATTGAGCGAAAATCACCTGAAATGAAATGATAGTGAAATGAAATACAAGTAAAAATAGAACGATTGAACAAAAAATAAAGAAATGAAAATGAAAATAAAAATAGAAAGTCAAGAGATTCCAGGCCGCGTTAGTTCACGACGTTTCGATTGTTAGTATCTACAATTGTCTTCGGCTGATGACTGGACTGATTCCTTCGAGAGATGACTATTTATGGGTCGTTCGAGTACTTTCACTCATCCCCGCTTTCCATTTTTTCCGCTTCACTGTTTCAGTGGGAGATGACCGTCTGGCGGGAGTTGGCCATTTTTCGCTTGATGATAGGTTTCTATATGTTGCGTATCTCTACGCTAGCTTGGTTGAATACGTTGTTGGACAACATGTATGCGGCTTCCTTGAATTTTTTCCTAAACCAATGTTCATCTCTGTGTATGATCTCAGCTTGGGACCACTCGATGTTGTGTTGATGGTCCAAACATGGTCTGCTATTCCTGATTCACTGGTTTCCCCTCGCTGTGTGTGTTTCTTGTGCTCAGCAATGCGAACTTTCAAGCCTCTTAGTTTCACCGATGTATGATTCTCCGCACTCGCAGGGTATCCGGTAAATGCAATTCTGGGAATCGCAGTCCGCGTTTGGTGGCCTGGTTTTTGTAAGGCTGCTACGGATAGTGTTCCCAGATCTGAAGTAGGTCCTGATGTTATACTTGGACCCAGTTCGTCTTATCCTTTCCGACAATTTTTTGATGTAGGGAAGTACGGTTGTGACGACTTCTCTTTCTTGTTATGCTCTTGCTGTCTTCTAGCCAAAGTCTAGGTAACCATCACTTTCACAATGGAGAAGGAAGTCCACTCACACAGGTCAGTATCTGAACCAGGAATCCAATCATCATCAATCGACTAAGAGAAGAATCATCAAAACTATAGTAGACCGTGCTTTCGGGCTCTGCAATACGAAGGAAGGTTTCGAGAAGGAACTAGGCATTATCAAAAATAACCTTTGACGGAATTGTTACTCCAAAGTGATGATGGAACAGACTTTGGCTAGAAGACAGCAAGAGCATCATGACCAAGAGAAGCCGTCAGTCACAAACAGCACTTGTACTTCTCTACATCGGAGGATTGTCAAAGATGATAAGAACAATTGGGTCCGAGTATAATATCAGAACCTGTTTCAGATCTGGGAACACTATCCGTAGCAGCCTCACAAAAACCAGGCCACCAAACGCGGACTGCGATTCCAAGAATTGCATCAGATACCCAGCTAGTGCGGACAATCCTATATATGGGTGAAACTAGGAGTCCACTAAAAGTTCGCATTGCGCACGAAATACACACAGCTAGAAGAAACCAGCAAATCAGTAATAGAAGAACATGTTTGGACTCATCAACATAACATCAAGTGGTTTCAAGCTGAAATCATCCATCAGGAGGAATACTGGTTTAGAAGAAAATTCAAAGAAGGAGCATATATATTGTCCAACAAAGCATTTAACCAAGCTAGCGTGAACATACGCAACATGTTGAAACCTACAATCAAATAAAAAACGGGCAACCCCCTTCAAACGGTCGTCTCCCGTATAAAACCGATGAAGCGGAGACAGGAAAGAGGAGATAACACTCGAATGACCTATAAATAGTCAGCTTTTCAGTCCAGTCATCACCCGAAGACAATTGTGGATACTAACAATCGAAACGTCATGAGGTAACTTGGCTTAAAATCTTTCAATTTTTATTTTCATTTTTTGTTAATTGTTCAATTTTCAATTGTTGCTTGTATTTCATTTCATTATAATTTCAGTTTTTTCGCTCAATATAATTGATTTTTTCAGGTATTCTTTTTTAATTTTATTGATTCTTTCAGGGAGTTCAAATCATTTTTTATCATATTAGACCATGGAAGTCCACACTAATGGAAAGTATCGGCCGATTCCATCATATTCTCTATAGAACTTTAGTTGGTACAGAGGCGTACTTGGTATTCAGATTGCTCGTGTTCATCTGTTGGTTTTGATTCGCAATATTTCTTCTATTCGTAACTAACGACCCGCCCCGGTTCCGCACGGGTGCAATATGCTGATACTGAATATACATATAAATGCGTGCGATCACTGCTAATCATAAACTGCTACAGGGCAAAGCGCGGCCTTCGATGCGCTATTTATAGGCACGCGCCATCGGCCCCCCGGTCGGTACCGCCGCAACGGCTATGTCGTTATAATTCTTTAAGTGGTCCTAGTTTCAGTTTGCTTACGGCGGTATGATTTAGGAAATTTGATCAAAGCTATTAGGTGACTCTGCTACATTGTGTCGATCTGTCCTACACTGACGATAACAACTCTCTAAAAGTGGTTCGTGAATATTTAACCTAATAGACTTCAAAAAGGAGACAATTTTCACCCTTGATCAAAATTACGAATTTATTTTCGAAATATATCCAAGAATATATTATTCTTTTATTATTCATCAAATTTGGATTTTCCGAATAATATATAGGGTGTGTGGTTTGCAACAATAATTTCATGTCATTCTTTTGTTTTTACTATTTTGAATATGATCAGACGAGAACTTTCGTATACCACAATGGATCTGCTATACACGAAGCTCTTTCCAAAACAGTGCAATGAAAATGAGCTGTCTTTGAAGCCAATTACCTCAAAACTGCAAAATTTTACATTGATTTTATCAATCTTCGATCCAAGTTCAGCCAATATATTTATAATATATTCTCAGTACAATTTTTGAAATATTGTAAAACGAAAATAACTTTTTTATGACGTCTTTCGAATTTACATTAGGTAATATTATCAACTCTTGGTACTTTTTGTTGTTTAGATAACACGTTCTTTGATAATAATTACAGATTTTCACAATATTGAATTTATTTTCAATACGCATTTCACTACCACAGTAGCTTCTGTTACTTATATTATGATTTGACTAATTCTAGAAAGTTTTTCATGAAAATAAATTTACTAGTAGTGGGAGATCAACTTCTTGTTGATTGATATGAAATTATATTGTTTAAATTTGGTAGGTAGCCGGGCGGTTCGCCGTGGGTGGTTTGTTCACTCAGTCAATCGGCCGATGTGTGAGTGTCTAACCCGTGTTAGGAATCACACGTTAAAAAGTAACCTTGCTAGTCCTTAGCTCACACAGGTTTCAACTTCT